AGGGAAATAGGGTAATCTCAGTTGAGTTACTACTAGTGATTGCACAATTTAAAAAGCAAACAAACAAAAAAAAATCTGCTACTTTGTTTTTATCTCCTCCCTTTTCTTTGGCTCCAACCTCTTCATTAATAATCACACCTAAGTGTGCATAATCATACCTAAGTTCCATTGCTCAATCAGGGCATTTTTGTTGTACTGTATTTGGATGGTCTAGGAATATGGTGCACTGCAGCTGCCCTTCCTGCAAGCAGCCTCTGACTCACAATGTGGTTCTCCTTAAATTGCATTTAAAAGCCTTTGTGGTGAGAAGCAGCACCCATCCCGAGCTTTCCAACCCAGTCAAGGTGGAGGCACAGATACTCAGCAGCTACCAAATAAGCACAGGATGCCAGCCTCTGAATGTAAATCTTACTTCTTTAAAATGAAGAATGCAGAATCAGTCCTTGACTTTCTAAGCAGATTCTGGCCATGCAATGTTTTTATAAATCACATCTGATCTGATATCTTGACTCATAAACAGTGGTATGAGAGGTTGTCAACAGCAACCTCCATCTGCCTCTTTGAAAGTTTTTTTTACCAGTTTACTGGAAAAGGTGTGTGCTTCCCCCAGGAAAGACACATACATTAGCATTGATCTGGGTTTGGATCAGGAGGGTTTGGATCTAATCCATTTTAAAGCACTGCTAAATTTTGGAAGGGGTTCAGTACCTAGCCTTTGAAATTCCCTGAAGGTGGGACTTTGGATTAGATTTTTTTGTAGCACTTACTCTGAAACAAGCCTGTTTGAATTACCTTGTATGCCTTGTGTTTTTAACAGCAACTTGGTAGCAGCTTATGAAAAAGCAAAGAAAAAGCATCAAAATAAGCTGAAGAAACTGGAATCACAAATGATGGCCATGGTGGAGAGACATGAAACCCAAGTAAGAATGCTCAAACAAAGAATAGCTTTACTGGAAGAAGAGAACTCCAGACCACACACCAATGAAACTTCACTTTAAGTGCATCTCTTTAAAGGGTGCTTAGTGCCATTACAGCTTTCTTTCTTTCGGAGGTTGACTTTTAGGTAGCTTCAGATGTTAAAAGCTCTGAATGTCAATGCTGACAAAACTTAAAAGTTCCTTCTCTGGGATCCCAGAGAGGTATCATGGGGATAATAAAAGTGTTAACCTTAAGGACTGTTTCATAATGTAAAATGGCAGTGCCTGAATTATCATGCTATAATTGTGTACATTGTCTGTGTTGTTATGTCTGTATTCATACAGCTTCTCTTCCATTTTATCAGTGGCCCATGGGTGACAGTGTCACATAGCAGAATAACTCATGTTAAGAGGTTTTCATTTGGGTAGTTTGGAGATCATGTGGAAGTTTTCCCAGTCCCTGAGCTCTCTCTGCACCCATACTGTACCCTCATGACTCGCTGCTGTGGTTACACCACCAAAGAGGCAGCTGCAGAATGGGGATGACAGCCTGGCTGGCTTTTTCTTTGCACCCTGCTTGCAATTCTGCTGCTCACAGTGCAGATCAGGTAGGAAAACTCCTGTTGACTTGGGAAAAAAACAATAAAGTGTAGTTGCATCTCTGAGAATTATGATAAAAGTGTAATTCTTACAGTGCATAAGAGGGCTAAAGGCTGTGGGTTTCACCATGCCACACAGACAGTCTGTGCCAAGAGTAAGAAATTACAGAAGACCTCCGGGTATTTATAGTGCATGGTGTTTGCAACTACTTTGCTTGCAACATAGAAAATGTTGTTTTTTTCTTGCTATATACACTATATCCAAGGTTTTCTTTAAGAAGCTGGGCCATTTTTGTCATGTGTGTTGTGCTTATTACAGCTTACTGTGATCAAGAGGTTGAATGTCTTTTTTTTTTTTCCTTTTTTTTTTTTTTTTTACCCCAAAAATAGGTACTTAAGTAATGTACCTGTTTAATATTGAATACCTAGGCACAAAATTATAGATGTGTAGATGTATGGATATCCAGCCACAAACAGAATGTGAATGGTGAAGTCTTACAGCTTTCTTAGGTTAGTTTTTGTTACTGCTAACATTCTCTTGTTTAAATCACATATTACTGTATTACCAAACTGACTGAAGTGCAAATTTGGCTTGTTAGGTTAATGAACATTAAGCAAATCATGGGGATCATGAGGTTGATTTCTGTAGGGGTCAAAATACAGGAGTCTGCCATAGCACCTCTTATATTCAGAATTTGCTTTTTTTTTTTTTTTTTGACAGAGTACGTAAAAAACTATGTGTGTTTTAAAAAGCCAAGCTATAGTCCCTTCACTGTGGTAGCCTGCTGCTGTGTTATGCCTCTGCTTTGTCTTTTCCAGGCTGATTTTCAGTGAATCTGGTTTCAGGAGATGTTTATCGTTTTTGCTTTACATGTTGAGTTGCACCTCAAGTTTTTTACTAGTGTATTTGGAATTACGATAACTTTTCTCATTTATTCCTCCCATTACTAGTGTTAAGGAAATATTTGAAAGGACTCTTTTTGCCTACTGTTGGGTTAGGTCAGACAACATAGTTGTGGGAATTTGTGTTCAGAATGTGGCATTTTCGTTAAGTCTTGGTTACATCTGGAAGTGTAGCAGTTGGTTTTCCATCTCTTACCACTGTAGCTGCTGTTGTCTTCTGTCCTTAGAGTAGTCATTCCTACTTGTCTGGAGTCTAGTACATCATCCACAAAGCCAGTATCACATGTGGTTGATTTTGCAACAGCAAATTAAAACAATGCTGATTTCAAAATTTTTAGGTAGTGATGTTCTGGTTTTGATCAGTCCTCTTCCTCAGAATAATTGTACTTCTTAATTTATAATGTGACTAGAAATTACTGCAAGTGAGTCTCTTGAGAGGGAGGAGGCACATTGATTTCTTCTGTCTCTGTTGTTCTGCTTAGCAGCCCTCTATGGTGTTTTCCCTTTTTTGGCCCAATTTTCTCACACCCAGGATGGTGGGGGTTTGCCATCAGCTTCACTGGTAGCTGAGCACACTTGTTCTGAAGAATCACAAGGGAAAGTATCCACCATGTGCTGTGGCAAAAATGCAGTTACACTTTTGTCTTCCGGCATGTGAAACACCCGTGTGACTTGAGGTCACCTCAGAATGTCCATGTGAAATACCTTCCACTGGAGAGGACAGAACTGAGCTGCCTCTTGGACTCTTTTTTTTCCCCTATTTAGATTAATGGAATTACAGAATGGTTTGGGTTGGAAAGGACCCTAAAAATCGTCTTATTACAATCCCTTTCTGTGGACAGGGACATCTTCCACTGAACCAGGTTGCTCCAAGCTCCTCTGGACAACCTGACCCAGTGCCTCAGCACCCTCACACAGAGTTTCTTCCATAAAAAAATTCAGATACTCAGAGGAATAAAAAGCTGCAGCCTCAGTGTTTTTTCCAGGCCTGACAATTTGCTGATTATTTCACTACATATAGCACAAATCTTCCATGCCAACTGTGCTCTAGAAGTGCATTAGAAAAATTGTAAGTCATCAGTAAATGTAAACCACTCCCATTTTTATTCCCATAAAGGTTGTAGATGAAAAAGCAGCACTGGTACCATCCAGCCTCAGCAGTAGCCATAGTCTGCCAGATCACCAATTTATTATCAACTAATAAAAGTTGATTTATTTGCCTCAGCAAGCAGCTACTGCATCATTTGTTAGCATACTTGAAAGGATCGACTGGGAAGTGGCCACAGGTTTAATGTTACTGTGAAAACTGTTCTTTAATGATAATCAGCTTCAGCTCCAGTGTACCCCATTAAAATGGCACCAACCCTCAGAAAAAATGCCATATAAACCTCAAACTCCTTTTATGCAACTTTGAAATACCTGCACATCAGAAATACCTGAGTGTGCAGTGCACCGTAGTTACAGCAACTTAACTCTCTTAAAGTTTGTTGCAGAAATAATAAATTTGCAAAGCAAGAAAAAAAAAGGTGATTCTTGCCAGCCTAAGTCCATTCATGAATTAATGATTGGACTTTTTTTGATTTTCTTAAGTCACCAGAGTGCACGAAACTTTGTATTTTACAGATGCTCAGAAGAAATTCACTTTTTTTCTAATTCTATGATGTATAAATCTTCACCAGCTTGAATGTACTGTTAGCTTTTGCAAAGCACATGTGACTTAAGTTTGCATTCATGTCATATTCTGTTGGTTTTGTTAGCGTTTTCTCCTCCTCCAGTATACTACACCATGCATTGTAACTTTAGAAACTTTTCACCTTACTGAATTAGCTTTAAATGTGTTGCTACCTTTTAGTTTCTAAGCAGCTGTAAAATAGCTATTTTGTGTTCATTTGATATAGAATTGTAAAAACTGCATTTATTTATACAGAGGCATTTATAATACGTATTTTACAAATGTTCTTATATTCTGAATAAATTTCTAATGCTGTTTCTTTGCCTTGGGAGTTGTTTCATCATGGCTTGTCACCTTACTGTTGAATGGGACTCCCTAAAGGCACCTTTGCACAAAGATATCTCATCTCCAAGCTAAGTTACTGAGGGAGATGGTCAGTGAAGTTCACTTTACAGAGCCATGAGAAGTTGTTAAGAATTCAGATCTGGCCACAGGTTTTAGCTGGGCTCAAGAACATCAGTACCCTCTACATCGTCAATGAACGCTTTATGGAAATGGAAGGGCATTTGTGAAACTGTTACCGCACGTCCAAATCTTTTCATAACAAGTTATATGGACCAAAAGAAAAAGAAAACAAAATACACAATATTACATAAATATTCTAAAAGCACTAACTGAAGTTCACATACTTCCTTTCTTCTGTTTGTCTAACATGTTTAGGGGTTTTTTTCCATTGTGTTGAACGGCATCCACCTTTAGAGCTGACTTTAAAAAATAACTTCTGCTAGAGGAGATATAATCACTGCTGGCTTAAGACAACATGTAAACATTCTACAGTGAAAGAATAACCAGTACCAGCAGCAGAGGCATCACGTTCCACAATGACCAGCAATCCTTATATTCATACTGCAGTACTTCAATATGTTTATTTATAAAGTAATTTAATTTTACAGAGGAAAAAATAACAACATAGAAGAAAATGTTAACTTAGTTATAGTCTCCTAAATGGTGTGCTTCAGTTTTGAATCAATTTATAACAAACAAAATCACAATAATCAGTACAGTAGATGTTACAGGTAGTTACAGATTCTACTTAATACAACTGAAGAGCTGACTAATGCAAACTTTCTTCAAAAGAACATAATGGAAGTTGTATAAAATCTGTAATAATTTTAACTCTTTAGCTGTACGTACTTTCTACTTAATGAGCACCGATGTGCCACTTACACACAGAGGAAAACAGATCAAGTTCTTGATCTTTAACAAACAGGAGGAAGACATAACTCTTCATGCCTGAGCCACACCACAAAGCACTGGCTCCTGTTTTCTGCGAGGCATGCAGCGCTGCCCTGAAAAGTGTCATTGTTTGGAAGCAATACTCAAGTCTGAGTCCTGGAACATGAACACTGATCAAGCATTCTGCCTGACTTAACAACCCCACACCTTCTTCTGGGGGTCTGTTTTGCTTTTTAATGGTAAAAGTGCCTTGCAAACCCAGCTAAACTGCTCCTCAGGGATGAAGTTAAACTTCCACATAGTGCAGTGCCATGCAGACACAGTAAAGTTCTGTTGCAAGTATTGTCATGAGAAGTATTTGCTGAGAGCTCTTAATCATGCAGTTTTCCGTATATTTTCTGCATAACAAAATTATGTAACCAACCAGTAAGATACAAATTTCATCCCCACAGTTTAGTAAGTTTGATCAAACATGCTTAAAAAAATTTGCAAAGTTCTTCTCACCATTGGAAATGTGTCATAGAGAACTGTGTTTGCAAGATGTGTTTTCTCAAAAAGCTATGAGTGCCTTATTTTAAAATGATTAATGCTCTATGAGCTGTAATCATTTTCTTAAAGGCACTGAACTGTAACCTATACTGGAAACAAGAAGCTAGTTCTTCTGATAATAAATGCTTAGAAATTACAAAACACTCTGTTTTCAGTAAAATCCATAGAGACCTTTCCAAATTTAAACATTCTGTACTCTATGAAATGTTAGCAGTTACTTAAAAGGAAGCTTGTTTATTCCTGGAAGAACTGAAGGAGGACTCAAAGCCACTTTTGACTTCCCAAAAGCACTCAGAGCTGAGAACAATTTAAAGATAAGAGTTTCTGTAAAGCTGAATCCGTACAAAAAGTTAAGTCTTGCTAAACCTAACATTTTCAATGGAAAGACACACCCCACGTATTTTGTTTCATTATACTGCTACCAATCTGGAATAGTTCCTCTGGTACAATCTTGAATGTGGCCAATGTCATTGTTGTTTAATGTTGACTTCCTTTTAAGTTCACAAGCTACATGAAAAAGTGAAATGCACACACAGCACAAAACCTACTGCATCTATCAGTGCTTACATATGGGATTAAGAACAGTGCAAATACTAGCATTTAGCCTACTTCCATTCTTGACTACACTATTGCTATAAATGCATATGAACAAAAACCTATTACAGAAGAGTTTCTAAGTCTAATTTACTGTAAAAGCACCTTCAGTTAGTTTGTATAAATTTACCATATCTGAAATAATTTTGGTTGTTTCAAAAGCTGAAATATTGTAGTAACAAAAAACAATTTGAAATTATGAAGTTGTGTATAAGCACCAGATTATTTAACATTTACAGTGCAAGACTTAAAATTGGTTTATTTACAGAAATCAGTATCAACAAGAGAGACTATTCTACTAATTCTCAGTAACTATGAGCTTCCTAACACATTTAGAATATAACCTCCTAACTTCAAACATGAAGGCACCTGGCTTTACCTCTGGAAAAGAAACCTGTTGCTCAGAATTTGTAACAAAACCCCAAGTATCTGAGGATTAAGCAACCCACTGACCCCACAACTGGACAGTCAGTTACCCCTGGAGCAGCAGTGCTGTCTTGCACCACAGGATATTGGAGTTTGGATTCTTAATGTAGACTCTTTGCTTTTCACACCATAATGGCATGAGTGCAAAAGCAAATCACCACATTAAGTAAAGGTTGGAAGAACTGTGTTCTTATCTGAAATTACAATCTGAGAGCAAGTATGTTAGAAGTAGCCAGACCTGAAGCCTGCCTTGTTTCTAAAAGCAACTGTTACATCTGTAACTGCCACAGTTAGGTGAAAGAAAATCACTAAGTATTGTTCTCAAATCACCAAATTAGTTCAGGAAGGTTGAAACACAGCACAGAAGCCTGGAACAGTGATTAGGCCCAAAAGTTCATTAGAAACAATTTATGCATGTTTGGTCTAAAGAATTTACATTGTGGTAAAAAATAATACTCTGTGCAATAAGTAAAGCTGTTTCCCCCCTCTCCTTCCCAGAATCACTGTTGCCAGACTTCAAACTATGCAAAACACAGTTACTTTCAAAAGCTGGATGATTGATGTACATCAAGGAGCTGAAGTCAGCAGCACTTCAGTCACTTAACTAACTGGGCAGGCCATTCTTCAGTCCAAGGTGAAAGTATAGAAGCATTCTGAGAAGACATGCTAAAAACCTTATGCTAAAGCAGGGAGTTGATATAGTACTAGAAACTGCACACTAGTACCAGATTCCTAGCACCACACGGCTGTAGGATTTTTGCTAAATATTTGTTTACTCTGCACGTTGATTCCAAGAACACTAACTGACCATTTATTATATGAATAACCCCTAACATGGCAGCATTCTCAAATTGACAGTGTTTGTTTTTCAAGTATCTCAACACCAGCTCTCGAGTCGGACATGCATACAGTTCCCATTTCCCTGTGTCTAGCTCCTGTAAAGTAAAAACTCACAGAACTAAAGCCTGTATCTCACTTGCAGTATTTCTTCACTGTTTTATGGAAGATAATGTAAACAGTACTTCTAAACTTAGAAATACAATTATAAAGGGATGGTGAAATAAGAACATAAACAACAGTAAACAAAATGTTCGTGGTGCAGGGCACGTTGGAGCCCACCAAGTGGATCACATGCCACCACATTTACATAGTTTTAGGATAAACCTTACTACGAAAGCAGAAAGCAATGCTACTAAAGGAAACTGTACCCTTATACAAAGAAGTTATTGCATATTTATCACATTTATTTGCAACTCACATTAAGGCTAGGTTTACTAAAATGAATTACATATGTATAAGCTTCACTTTGGGTTGCTTAATGAAGCAACCAATGTCTCTTATACTGGACCAAGCTTTCACTAAGAAGAAAATATTACACAGTAAACAGAGGGCAGCCAGCATCTCCTATTCATAGAACATGCTTCCATTGTTCTAAAGACTTCCTCTTGCCTGGGACAGGACTTCCCAAACAGAAGACAGATGCTCCAAGTTCACTGCTTCATCAACATCCCCATTATTTCACAGAGCACTAAATTATCTATAACTAATTTATCTGAAAAGTCAACTTATTTATAAAAAGATTTCCACAGCCCGTTATTTAATTATGCCTTAGGAGAGTCCTATTAGCTCCACAGGCAGTAGCAGCCTCAGGATATGATACAAACTTCTGCCTCACCATGAGTAAAGGCACTTTTGCTGGGAAATCAACTAAAACAGCACAAAGAAGTAACAAAATATTAGTTTTCACCTGAAGCTGAATAACATAACCTTTTCCAGCATTATCCTACCCTCTCAATTACTCTTCTTTGTCATTGTATGGCCTTTGGATACGTTTAAGAAAAAAAGAAAAAAAAAAAAAGAAAAAAAAAAAAGTGAGTCAAAGCTAGATTGAGCTATTTCACAATTTGGTCTTGAAAAACAAGGCCCTCAGAACCCTTGTCCTCCAGAAGGAGGAAATGCTGTAGTCCATTTCTCCTGTTGACTGATACAGAAGTTGAACGATCCCATGGCCAAAATTATTACAGCATTAGAGTTCCAAATCACCTGGTGCCAGACAGGTGAATAAACCAGGAGAAAGTTCTAAAGCTATTTCTGAGGAAAACGCTAGGTAGGGTGTATGAAGTAGGGTGGTTGAAGGAAGACCAGGATTTTGGTTTTGGATGACATATATGAGTTGCATAAAAACTCAGTGCATGTAGATACACTACAAGGGTGTAGTTCATTCAACCTATCAAGTTATCAATTACCTCTATTCTAGAGAAAAGTCCATTTTTAAATCTGGGACATGCTTGCTATCACAAGCTGCTGTGACAAATGATTTCAGTGCATTTCTCTTCACTGCAACACAGATGCTCAAAACCCACTGACCTGCAGGAGATGTAACAGCTCATCACCCCAACTCTTACAGGTTTTTTGTTCCTCCCCTCTATCTCCACCCCATCTTTCATGTTTTTCCTAAGAAAGCAGTGTAGCTGAAAAATGACTGAGGCTAAATCATTTAAATGCTAACTGCAAGTGCAATTCAATACTACTGGATATATACAGAGCAGATACACTACACAAGATATCTGAGGACAACAGCACAGGATACAATACTGAACACCCTTGGAACAGTTATTGGAAGCCTGATTAAGCTGTTCAGTGTCACACAATGCCTCTATCACCCATGCACCTGCCCTCCTCCTCAGTGAGATCTACAGAGGCTTATTTACATTCAGTATAAATTCTACGCAAGTTACCTCTCACAGACAAGTTTAAGCTTCTCTTTTTCCGCAAGCAGCTGCTTTGTAACTTCTTCTTATGCAGCTGTGGGCAGTGCACAAGAGCTAAGTTAGACACTTTGAAGGACTGAGTTTTACCCAGTTTGAGTGTCATTATTGAAGACCAAGGAAGAGTAGGTACAAAAAGTCAACACTCTATATATTTGACTCAAGTACTAGTGATTGCCAGCCAACAAAAACTATCAGTGTGAAGGAGGGAAGGTATTTGGGGCAAACAATCAGTACAGAGAAAGGATGACAGGCTGAGACTAGGTTTGAAATGTGCAACTTGGTTTCAAAATCACTAGGACAGAGCTGTCCTCTGAGAATTAGTTTCATTGCCACTGTGTATATTGCAATGTTCTACAAAATAATGACAAACAAGTCCAATAATTTACATCAGAACAGTTAAAAGGTTAGCAAGCTGGTATACTCCAACAGTTAAAAAAAAGTCAATGACATTCTACAAAACACACGGCAAGTTACAATAAAAAAAAAATTCAAACCACAAAAAAAAAAACCACAAGTAAAAAGAATGCCCTCTAATGCACAGCTAGGAACAAGTGAACTGAACATTGGAAAGGTACTTTTGTGGACAAAGGCTAGACTGCATTTAAAGTGCAACACTTGACTATGCCACTCCCATACTGCAAAGAGAACAAACCTTTCCAAACCAGCAGTCAGTCCCTGCATTGCATTCAAAAACAAACAAACAAAACAAAATAAAAAACTCCTGAGAAAGAGTAAGGCTGGATAAGAAACCCCCTCCGTTGCAACAGGCAAGTCTAATTCTTACTCATAATAAGTTTGCTGTCAGAGGTCAAAACTTTTCATTATGGCATCATGGTCAAACTTGAAACTCAAGAAAGCTCTTGATGAAAAAACAAATTTGTAATGGCCATTGCATGCCACAGAATGTCCGTCTACATGTTCTGGCAGCACATCTTCGCTGGAGCAACACATCTCGTATGCTGCTTCTGCTTAAAGAGAAAAAGGTATTAAACAAATTTTAAATGGGCAGCTGCCACTAAAAGTATCTGAAACAACACAAAGCCATACCTCAAACATATATTCAATTAATACTTATAACAAAACGTGTATGTTTGGTCATAAACAGAAGAAGGTAACTCAAACCAGCCATATTTAAAAGCTGTCTAGAGGCTAGAATAAATCTTCAAATTCACTGCAATCTGGAAACACTTTCAACAGCCACATACATATACGTATATTTTACATGTATAATACTGTTTCATTTCTCAATAGCCATTTCTCAACAAGGAGAAAAAAAAGGGCACTGTCTCCTGAGCAATAAGTAAGGAACTGTGTGCACTCTGCTGCAGCTTATTACTAGCAGGACAGAAAGCCTTAAAGCACACTCAATTACCAGCACTGTGTTGACTCAGATGCTATTTTTCTAAACTAGCTTTTAGTTACTTTTTCACTCAGCCACCTGGTGTATATCAGGTGTGCAAGACCAACATGAAACAGTATCTTTTTCATTAAAAAACAAACAAAACCTCAAACTACCTTGGAAAAACATGGTTTTATAAGATTTTGAATGTTGGCATGAGGAAAAGCCCTCAACCATCATTATTCAGGTGCCTTCAGCCTGTAGCACAGGACAGTGGATGAAAATGCTGACTGCACTTGCCTGTTTCAAAGTTATCCTGAAGTCTTCTTGGATTAAGCCTTTTTTCACATTTCTGGTGAAGAGAATGACCATACATTACACATATTTGATAAAGAAATGGCATTATATTTAAGCATCATCTAACTGGCATGCTGGTTTGCTTTGACACACCTCACATCTGAATTATTTTACCTCTAACTCAGCTGTAATTCTGTCACATAACTTGATGTAGCAAACATGCTTTAAATCCACAAGTCTTTCAGAATCATGCAACTTTTTAACAGTCACTAAAACATTTCTAATATGCAGACTTTTAGGGGAAAATTTTGTTTTAAGATGGAAGCATCTTGCATATGATGGTGTGTAATCAACATTGTGCATGCATAAACCCACTCTTCAGAGAGCTTGTCCCAAAAGAGGCAAGGGGAATGTATTTACAGACATGCTGCTACTACCAATTAAATTAACATGCTTTAGAGACACAAACTGAAAATTCTTAAGGGAGGAATTGTTTTAGCCCCAGGTATTGCTGCTGTAAGTACACTGATACAAAAAAATATGGCCCTTTGCACTCTCTCCAAATTAAGAGTTTCCTGGCCTTCAAATTACATCACAAAATTATCACTGGACACAAAATATTTAAACTTTGAAAGACGGACCATCATGAAAACACAACTGAAACAGAAAAAGATAAATATTTAGAAAAATTTGTGAAAACCCTGCAAAGTAACTGGGGAGCATTAACACTTATCTCAGTTAAGATCTTACTGATTACCATTACAGTTTTTTCCTATCCATTTAAATTTCTGGGCAGTCAATTCACTCTTCTACACCCAAACATAACTAATCATTTCTTGCAGTAAGAAATTTAGGACAAGTTTCTGGTTTCTGTATGTTTACATGAATAAGAGAAAGAAGCAATAATCACAAGCCAGAATGGGAAGAATTTAGTTTAAAGCCTGTAAACAAAAAAAACTAAAGCCTGGAAAAGCCAGCTGAGCTGCATAGAGAACTGGGGGCTCACTGCTGCACAAGGGCCAACAAAGTATACTGAAGAGCCATAAAAAAACAGGAAATCCAAAGCACATTCTACTCTAAGGGAGAGCACAGCCCAGTGAGTCAAGTCCCACTGAGAACTGGACAAACACAATTAGTAACTGCAAGGGAAAGTAAAACACAAACAGTGTGACACTGGAATTTACAAACTGCTGTAACTAGCTCTACATTATGATTGAAAAACTATATGAGATTCTGGCATCCAAGCCAAGTCTGTGTCTCAACATTTTTTGCTGGAGAGAAGGGAAATAATAAGTATTTACATCACCACTTTCTAAAGTGTTGCATAACAAAACCCCATGCTTACAGTACGACATCACACATCAATAAATAAGATGTGTACTACACACCACAGAAGGCTTTTACATGACAGGAACCTGGAAAGCTGCAGGACTGTGTATTGAAACAGCTGACAAATTTTCAACAGCTAAAATTACTTACTTCTAAAATGCAAACTTTGAAATTTAGTATGCTTGTTTATAGATGTATATGCATACAAGGTAAGAAATGTTATACATCTACAAACATGTATCAAATACTCTGACCAAACATACTCTTGATAGATAAGCACTCTACTTTGTTTCAGCAGGACATTGCCCTGGATATTTGTTAAGCATTACTGGAACATATTACTGACACAGACCCTGCATGTTTCTTACCAAGTTATGGTTTTGCTTAACTGGTTGACTATGCAGTCCATTTGTTCGCTTCTTTTGGCTGGAAGTGTCTTGATTTTGCTTTCTGCCATTGTTCCTCAGGCTCTGACTCTGCTGTTAAATCCAAAATAAGTAGAGGGAAGAGTTTAAATGGCAGAATTGGACATCATTGCATTGACATTTCCTACTTAGTAATTAAAACTTCACTCCAAGTAACTTCAAAACATGTAAACAGTTTCTTTTGCAGAAAAAAGGGAAGCCCAGTGAAACTAACCAAACACACTCAAGCTACAGGGCCATCAACTGTTACCCATTCTCTCTAGCACTGAATATGACAGAATTATTACACAATTAATTCAGTTCAGTGAATTTCCATGCACTAATGCAGAAATACTAGAGATTCCAGCAAAACGGCAAGTACTAATTACTATCTGTACATGAAACAACACAGTTGCTACCTGATACCACCACTTCTAGTGTGAGAGAAATCAAAGAATGCCCAAGAGTATTCTCCCACTCCCACATCTCTATTTTTGCATCCTCTGGAGACTAAATTCATTGGTTTTGTCCTAGAGAGGAAACCCTTATGAACAAAGACATCCATTTTAAATAGTCCAGATGCTTGCCTAACAAACAACCTACCTTTATTTTCAAAACTTCAGACACCTCAGGATGATTATATGGCTTCTGTGGCTGTTTTGGCTTCACCAAGTGCTCTCCTGAAAAGCCATCTGTAAACACCTGTTGACTACAGCGAAGTTTGGATCTAGTGCAGGAAAACAAAGACAGTTTACAACACAACTTCAAATCTACTGAGAGCAGAAGACAAATATGAAAAAAGTTTCTGCTTTTTGAGAATAATCTGGAAGACAATCTTAAGTAACCTAGTATGGAAACTCTAATAATGCTCACTGCCATTTGCATTCTCCAAAGACAAGAGGCCAAGTCCACATTAACATTTGCCCTGTTGTTCTCAGTCTTGGTGTTGCCCTGGCTCAAATTACTGAAGTCCTCTCATAAGGACTACAGGTTTCAACATTTGCTCTACCACTTTCCACTCAGCTGAATCTAAAGCCAGCAGCACATGTTCCCCTACTGATTCCCATAGGTTTTATCTAGCACTTCTTAGACTACTTTACACTCCTGCTTTGGAGAGACCTACTTTTCCTCTGCAGAAGTGCCAAAAATATTGAACTTGAAGCACTGGAAGTTATCTACTTGCTTTAGCTTCTGGTTTTTTTGATTCCCATAAACAAGACTGAGGAAATAATCTCAGTTCTGACACCAGTGTATCAACACATTAATTAAGTTCTCACCTTACTTACAAATCTATGATATACGTCTATGCTTATTTTTCTGTTATTTACTTATTACTGGAACACAAATCCTTGGATAAAGAGAAAAGGACAAGCAGTATTGTATATAATTGTCATTGTATAATATCGTCGTATTTGTATGACCAGTGTTTTGTAAGAAAGAATATAGAGATGTTAAACTGACCTGGTTCTTACCTAGCTTTTTCCAAGTTGGGCTTAGAGGGTGTGCTCCCTGCAGATGAAAAACCATTGTCACTGTCTGAGGAATCTCCATTCCTTCGGGAAATCCATTCCCTCAATGGTCTGTGAGCAAGGAGTAGTACAACAAGATCTACTTACCAAAACAAATCTAAAGAATTTAAAGTTATCTGAAAGACCCTGGCCTAGTATTTGCCTCATCTCAAACATACCTGATGAAAGGAATTGCCATAAAAAATTTGTTAGGTGCCAAACCCAACTTGGACTTTGGGGTCATGTCATTTCTGTGGCATGGTAATTTGTCGATGGAAAACCACTCAATATTCTAGAAAAACAAGAAATAAAATCAAAATACCCTCTATTGTAGCCGTATCAGAATTTTACAAATGTGTATCAGCCACAATTATTTCCCTTAATTAAAAAATTACCATGGAAGACTTAAATTAACAGGCCACAACAGCGTTTTTCACAAAAGGTTTTCACAAAAGGTTAATTAACTCTTCCGACTGCCACTACAGTAGCAGATGGTACAGCACAAAATTGCACGATATCGCACCTAAAATATGAAAGGTATTAATCAGCAACTAAATTCTGAATAAGAGTTTCATAAACAAACCAACCAAACTATTGCACACAGAATGCCATACATGAATGCCATACACAGAATGTACAGGCTTTGAGTATTTTTCAAAAACTTTTTACTTAAAGTGTGATCAATACTGGACCACCAATACCCATTCAAAAGTAAGAAGGGTGTTTAGTTTGACTAAAGTTTCATGTTTTGTAATAAAAGAAAAAAAACCCATGGCAATAGGATAGGATTTGTGTTACTGTTTATATGTTACAGTTTTAATAGCTAAAACTGTATACTTAGCAGAATGGGGAACAAAATTAGGAATTCTGACCACAGACAGTGTAGAAGAACCCACATGAGATTTGCTATTACAGAATCTACTCTGAAAGCCCTAGGTACAGAAAATATGCAAATTATGGAAACAAGTTACAAACTGAACAAGTATTCAATTTCTACAGGGAGTACAAAACCAGCCTTCCTGGTGGCATTAGATCAGATGAAGACAAAGCTTCAAAACTCTGTCATTGGAAGAACTCTTCAATATTCCCACACATATGGTCACTGTTATACAAAGTACCATATTTACTGTATGTTTTAAAAAACACTTAAATTTCATCTTATGTTTTAAAAAAACAGGTCTCTAATGCAAGAAATTAAGTCCTGTTGAGTCAAATACTTTCTTTATTTAGAAAGCAAAATAAGCAAGATGCCCTATTTAGTGACACAATCTGCATGGAAATATAGCCGTTTTGAACTGAATTGCCATAAAGGAAAAAATCAAACTTCAAGATTACAGATACCACTGACAAAGGTTCCAACAAGTTGTTACCTGAGCCTTTGTCTTTCGCTTTCACAATACCTTTTAAAAGCCTAATGGTACACAATACATCCAAAATAGTTCCCTTTTTCTGTCCCCTTCCCAACTTCCTCCTTAAAATATACTATTTTTTAAATCTGACAGTATTAGACATGAAAGAAAGAAAACAATCCTTAGTTTATCCTCTGGATATGTCCTTTTGATATGGCTTTTGCATGTCCCCAACTAATAATTAAACTTGCAAATATATAGCTACATTTGCATCTGTAACTATGAATAATATAATGAATATATACATCACCTATGAGAAAAGGAGAATTGTATTTTAGCAGCATGCTCTATTGTCTTTTCATGGTGAATGGAGATGTCAGACAGATGGTCAAGTATCAGACCTGCAGGTGAGCTGCAAGAAGTCAACACAAAACCCTACAGTGCACTGGTACCTAGCATTTAAGGTTTTCACTGTGGGTTCATTATTTTACACACTTCTGGATTTAAAAAGCAACTTCTGCAAAGTTCCTGTAAATTCAGACAAGATAGCACATACCCGAATTTCCCTTCTAGTTTTGGGGTTGAACTTCGTGTTCTTGGGAACTCCAGGAATGATATACAGCCGTGCTAACTGATCATTGATTCGCAGCTCAATGTAGTCCTCTTTGCAGATATAATCTTTTATGTCAAACCCAGTTTCTTCAAACACCTGAGAAGTATTTAGATTAAATCAGTGTGTGTGTATTCAGAGTCATCCTTTCACAACCTATTGCCACAAGTGAAGGAATGACTATGTTTCAGATACATCCATGAAAACTGCTGGGAAAAACAAGCCTTTACACACAGAGGTTTGCTAAGAAATAGAAAAAGGATCTACATGCTTTATATTTCTCTGAAACTGCAAACCTGTTATGCAAGCTGAAACAATTCTATTACACCTTCACGCAGCAATTTATTAATATGGATGGGGTTAGTTCTCATCAGCTTCTGAGGTACTACTGAACTCTGTAGGCACTGCCAATTGAAGACCTCTTCAATTAGATTTTACACATATGCAGTTTATGGTTTCAGATCTGTGCTGACTCCAGTGAAAGAAGTTGAAAGATTTATTTCAGATAAAAAATAAACTGTCAGCCTATCCACAATGACAATCTAACCTGTCAGAAAAAAAGATGGCAACAACACTGCTGTTCACTAGTGAAATCTAAATACATTTTTCAAATCAACAACACCATCGAAAGATTTTTTTTCTCCAGTATAACTGTGTCACCTTTAATGCGTTTGCTGGCATAACTTGAAGAGGAAGATACACTTCATGTAACTTCTTCTTGAAGTAGCTGTCTAGTTTATCCTTGACAGGCATACTTAAGCAAACAAAAAAAACCCCAAAACCCTGTGATTTCTCAGATACTGATTCAGTCCAACTGAAGAACACTAAATGCATCATACTACTTTCTCTCACCTTAATTTTCTCTCTCAAAAACTCTGGCTGTATTATGTTGAATGAACACTGAATTTGTACCAGTATTATTCTTTTACAGGCCATTCTGAATATGCAGCTTCACTACATATCTATGTCTCCAGGAGCAATAAATACAGATTATTTTATTTTTCAGATTTTACTTGCAATATACACTGACTCTTGCTCCTGAAAATAACTGAAAAATAGCATAACTGGAAAACAGAAAAGTTCTTCACAATTTTTACATAAAATTCTACAGCCTCCAACTCAGCTTTTTAGCCTCTTTACAGCGACCAGTGTACATAGGCTAAATTCCCATTTCTCCATGTTTTTAAAGTTATGGTGACCCTTGAAATTAATACACCAAAAGTCCTAAATTACATAAGATTTCCCAAGCACCACAAGTAATACTTAAATGTAAATTCACAGTTCAGCAGAGAACTTTAAAAACAGCACTCACTTCATGCAGCACATTAGTGCAAAAGCATGTGAAACAGAAACCTTTTTTTTGTTTTATTTATAAAATGTATAATTATTTTATATATTACTTATATATATAAATATATATATATTATATATATAATTAATCTATATAATTTTTATATTTATTTATTTATTTAATATATAACCTTAGCTATTTATTTATTTAACATAACCATAACTTCCCAAAACCTCACTTCCGGGTCAAACCATGACAATAACCTTAGCCTTGACTACCATTTTGGAACTCAGAAAGGCACCAGAAGATGACTGCAAGAACAGACTATTTATTCACAGAATTTCAATAACAGGATTACCTAAGTAAAGTGCCTTTTCACCCAACACATATATCCTGATTTCAGCAAAATTTCACTTCTTTATCTTAAAGGAGTTGATATAACTTACCTCTCTAGCAGCACAGTCATGAGGTGCCTCTTCTTTATTTACTTTCCCTTTTGGAAATCCCCAACCAGATTTTGCTAAATAGCCCTGAACCAAAAGAACCTACAAAAGACAAGGGAATGCAACTGTCAATCATGAAGGTGTTCTAACCAATTTCATTAAATGTCTTCCCTCCACCATCCCCTTGTTCTCCAAAAGAATATGTTAGCCTCAAGGAAGGAAACCGTTAGGTTTTCTGTGTTCTAGCAAGAAGTGTGAAATATTTTACAGAATCATGTAACTCAGATAAAAAAATAAAATCTGAGAAGGAAAGCATGCAGAAGTGTGTTTACTGACTCACATATTATATTTCTGTACACAGTTACCAATATCAAGCAACTCTCGTATCTCTGTGAATCTGACAATGAATGTAAATTTCTCCAGAAGAAAATGTAAACAACAAAGAATTACTTCTGCCAGCATATGCCATCCCTCCCTCTAGACAGTCCTTCACAACTATTTCCATACTTACATTTTCAAGTGTCTCATCAAGGATGATTGCACCATAGGTTGGCACTCCCATTTTGTATTCTTTCCACTCATCTAAAACCTTCTGTACATCTTCACCTTGAGGCAGTAAAAAGGGGCAGTGACTGAAGAGTATAGCAGCATGTTAAGGAAAATAAAAAGCAGCCAGTTCCAAAGCACATACCAAATACAAAAGATATTCACGCCCAATTTAGAATAAACACTCCCTCCCCTAAGTCTTTTCAAGATAGAGTCTCTTGGAAGTAAAAAAAAAATTACAAATAATCCACTACCAAACACTGAAAGTCAGAGAGCATCAAGTAATTCAGCAATTCCTATACAAAGCAATCTAAATAAATGAAAAAAAAAACCAAAAAAAATCAAAAACAAAAAACCAAAACCAACCAAACAAAAAAGACACTAAAAAAAAAGCCAACAAAACACTAAAAAAAACACCAAGAAAAAAGACTGCACAAGGCTGATTGTTTGAAGGAAGGCAATTTTGAAAAAAAGTAACTCCATAACAGTTATTTTGAATATGTATTATTTGCAAACATATTTTCTTAATTTTGAAGTGAGCAAGAGACAGAAAAAAATTCAGTTTCTTGTGCTTGAAATAAATGGGAATGCACTTTTGCAACAATCATTTGTTAAGATTATGGCACAGAATCCTATCTTCAGTATTTGATATGCAAAAAAAATAATTTAATGACATATAGTTATAGAAATCTACATTCTAATATCCTTTATCAAAACTCACCATGCAGAGAAAATATAAACAACCTCTATAGCCCTAAAATTTTGAGAGAAAATCTGCAAGTCCTTAACCAAAGTATTAATATTATATATTACATATATTATACTACCGATAAAAAATACTCCACAGCAGAATACTTAAAAATACAGTGCAGCAGAACTGATATTTGTGGCAAATATGGGCTAGAAAGAGAAATGTGTAATGAACATAACATCTGTTACACTGCATTTTTTCTGCACTGCGTACAATTAGTAGGATAATTTTGTTGGCCTGAAAATACATTTATAATTAAAAACATCTATAAAATAACAGCATAACATCAACCAACAGAATAAGACCATATTTTTACAGTTTACAGTTAAAAGCTGTAGTGTTCTGAAGTAAATATATATTATGAAACTAACAGATAAGTATGTTGTGTATTGAAAGCATGGATAATATTACCCTCAAAGTTAGAAGTAATATTTCAATCTCAGATCAAGAACATATGGGACAAGGCTAAAACTAAAACGCTTGCTGGATGAAAGCCACCAAGTTTTCTCTAGCAAGGACTAGATAGTACACATTCTAGCAGCCCTTGCAAGCAACAAAAACAGCCGAGGCCAACAATTCGAATTCAGTAAAAATGCAGTTTCTACTCTACAGAAACTTCCAACAAATACATACCACTGGCCATGGCAGAACACATACCACCTTCAACTACTTTATGTCACTAGTTACATGAAAATTAATAATCTGTGGAGTTCAGTTTGAAGAGCACCAGCAGCTCACCCTTGAAACCAACCTAGCATGCAAAGTGCAACCATGAGAAAAAATCCTCAAACATCAGAAACAGACTGTTTTCCATAGTCCTTTAGCAGTCCAAGAAACATCTCTTTTGTGAGTGCCACAAAATTATGGAAGCAGTGAGCTCAGTAACATCACATACCTAGCAGCAGTAACTTTTAATCATTAACACATGAACTCATTATCATACTATGAAATACTGTTAACAATATTCAGTTTGCACTTTACCACTGAGACAGAAAACAATCAGAGTAATAAAAAGGATATCAGCTTTAGCAAAGTCTCTTATCCCACACTGAGGTAATCCTGGTGTGTTTTGCATGTAGAAATCCAAATAAAACCAATGGGCAAGTTCAATCTGAAAACAAACTCTGATTGCATTGTCTCTCTCTTCACTTGGAATGTGCAAAATAAATCGGCTGACAGGAAAGAAAAAGAGTAAGATTAGCCAAATCTACTGATTAAATACAGCTAACAATAAAACATTGCAACAGTACAATTCTTGATCCATTAGCACGTACCAACAAACCTCCAGATCCTCCTCATGTTCCACAAGGACAGTAAACAGTTTTCACAAAGTAAAGTACAGCTTTTAAAGTCAAGAAGGAAAATGGATTATTATGATCTTTCAGAAATATAAATTACAATATACTAAGTAAATTAACTGTTGTAAAAACAGGGAGTGTGAAGACAACCTACTTAAATGGCTGTGTTACAAAAATGAAAGGATTTTTACAAGTCCATTAAATAACATCTGCAAACTCTGATAAGATATTTCAGTGCTATTTTTTTCAGGACACAAGTTGAACATAGTTATATATTTTCACTTAAAACCACAGTAAACTAATAATTTACATAGATTTTAAAATTCAATATGATCCTACAAATTTTCTCAGTCTGAAACTGAACATGGACAATCAGGTTTAGTCCAGATACTGGCACACAGACAGAGTCACTGAGATAAAAGTTTAAGCAGCACTGTGTGATACACCATTTTAGCTAAGCAGAAGAAGTTTTATTTATTTATGTATTTGTATTGAAAGCAGAACTTCCTTTTTAGAAATTTAAGGTCATACACCCCCCACTGAACTTAAATCATTTGATGGAGATCTTTGACATTCAGCTCCTTAGGGCAACCAGCTAAATTCCAAAAGTGCATAATTATCATTGCTCGAAGCAGAAATTCTGTATCTTTACTTAGAATCTGTCAAGTATGAATTGTCACAGGATCTCAGAACTAGTTGTCTCTCTAAGGCACTCTGGCCAAGGACAGAGGCAGAAGGTCACTGCCTCACTGGTGCAGGCACACACCTGATACTCCCCAGGTTTCCAGGCACATTCACAGGTTCCCCAGGTACTATCACAGGTCTCCTTTGCCACTCCATAGCCCTGCCCAGACCCCAGACCCTCACGCCCCTCACATAGGTCCCTGTCCCACCAGATGGTCCAGTTTGAAGTTTGCTAGTGAGAACACAGGCACAAGAGGTCTGGGGAAGGCACCTGTCCCCCGCCCATCCCCAGTCTTGCTGCAGCTGCCTGTGCTCTGCCCCTCACTGCCCTCACTCACACCACTTCCCACACAGAAGCTGGTTCCCAGGACACTCATCATTGCTACCCCAAACAGTGGGAGCTGAGACCCCCTCCTGGGAGTGGCTGGCACTGAGATCTGCTCCCTCACTCCAGCAGCTGACACCTTGCCCAATATCAGACAGAACTCCCATCAGCAGCTGGCACTTCATTCTTGGAGCACACATATACAGGGGGTAGAGAGTGGAATTATCCAGACAAAAATAAATATTTACTAAGAAGATATAAGACAGGAGAGTCAGTGACACTGGGGCAGAAGGGTCAGACAGAGAAGTGTAGTAACTTGTCCAGTTTTACAGCCAGCTCTTTTATACCCCTTTCTGCCTACCTTTGCTTTGTCCTTCCCTGCTTCTCTTTTCCTGCGGCACTCCTCTCAGCCCAGAGTGTGCGATCCCCCCCAGATCTAAAGCCCTAAGAGATACAAAGGCCAGGCTGATATTCCTCAGAGTGATGCTTGTGATTTCTTGGCAGTAGGCCAATTGGTGAAATTAATAGGTTTGTTTCTTGTCGTTGTGTCTACTTCTGATTTCTTAGGTCTGTGTCTAAATATATTTTCATTCTGATTCCTCCACTTTTTTTCTGTTTTCCAGGAATAGGTCCATACTCAGATAAACTTGCTGGAACAAACATTCCTATACCCCCCCTCATCAACCACTGGCCAGGTTTGGTTTTCACCACTGCCTTCCTTATCATTCCTCTGCTGGTTTTGTAGACTTGTGTGCTTTGTTGATGGATTTCTCATCTTCTTATCATTCTTTTGCTGGGTTTGTAGCCTTTATTTATTTACTATGATTTTATTTCTCATCTTCCTATCCAATTTTCACATGGAAAAAGGGCCTTGGCCAGATACCCTTAAAGACCTTGGCAGGCCTGAGAAGGAGTCTATGTGAACCTCATGACTTTCAACACAGCCAAGTGCTGTGCCTGGGTTGGGATAATCCAAGCACAATGTAAACAGTCTGATCAGAGAACGGATGGAGAGCAGCTCTGGGGAGGAGGATTTGAGGTGCTGGTGGATGAGAATCTTGACATGAGCTGACACTGTGAGCTCGCAGCCCATTCTTTTGATGGAACATAGTGTGCACAGCAGATTAAGGGAGGTGATTCTCACCCTTTATTCTGTTCTCGTGAGACTTCACCTAAGTGTTGTGTCCAGCTGTTGGAACTTCAATACAAGAGGATGGGGATACGCTGGAGCAAGTCTTCTCTGAGGCCTTTCAGGACTTCAGTGGGGCTACAAGAGAGCTGGAGAGAGTCTTTTTACTATGTCATAGTGACAGGACAAGGGGGAATGGCTTTAAAGAGAAAAAGGGGAAGGTTTAGATAATAGGAAAAAAATTTTCACTGTGAGGGTCATGAGTCACTGGCACACACTGTCCAGAGAAGCTGTGGATGGCCTGTCCCCGGAAATGTTCAGTAGCAATCTGGTCTAGAAGGTGACCCTGCTTTTGGCAGAGCGGCTGGGATGAGATGATATTTAAGGTCCCTTTAACTCAAAGCACTCTGTGATTTTCCCTCGCATAAATAACCTTATTCATATCAACATTTTACAACTTCCCAATTTTCAATTGGCACTACCACTTCCAGTTTCTTTTGAAGGCTCTGTTCTGACTGCTGAAAAGATCCCTTATCTATAAAGTTGCTATAACTAAAAGATAACTTAAAAGTCTACATTACATCATATCATCTAGTTGATGATATTTTCTTGCCCCAGCACTGCAGCTGAACATAAATCTAAAGATAAAATATGCAGCAGTATCAAAGAGGAGTAAGAATATGCCAGGGATTAGGCTTAGAGAACAATAGCAAAGCCAAATACAATGATACCTATTAATCAAAAAGTTAACTTGTAAGTTACTTGGAGTGACTGAAGTGCTAAAACAGGCATGGCATCTCTAGGTTGTTCTAGGTGCAGCTGCCAGGTGCTGGCAGTGACGGGCTAATGCTGGACACACTGTGGGACACAGCTGGAGGCAGCAGCTGAGATGGTGGTGCCTGTGGGGAAGTGTATTTCAGGACAAAAATGCCAGACAGGCAGAGGAAGTGAAAAAAACCAGCATGAAACAGCAGTGCAAACACCGAAATTGGAGAAGAAGAAGAAGAGGAGATGTCCATCCTACAGTCTTTGGAGTATCACGTGCTGGTGCAGATGGATATGTCCTGAAGAAGCCTTAGCCCGTAGGAGTGATCCCACACTGGAGCAGGGGCAAAGCATAAGAGGGAAGAGCCCCAGAGAGGATGTGTTACAGACTGACCACAACCCCCATTCCCCATCCCCTGAGCAGCTCGCAGGGAAGGAGGTAGAGGAGAGAATGAAAGGATGAAGCCGACATGAAGTTTCTCTGGGAAAAACAAGGATGCAGAAAAAGCTCTTTTTCAAATGTTTTTTGAAGAGGGGAAGTGGGTGAGCATCTGGCCACTTCAGCAAGGTGAATCAACCACAGTCTGGAAGTCAAAAGACAGGGTAAAAGGACTTGTTTACAAGACAAAGGAAGTTTCAAGAAGCTGCTAAACCCGTATTATGACTGCACATCCACTTCTTTACTCAGTTAAACAACTCCATCGCACAAGGCAGCATGACAAAAACTGACATGGATACCTGTAACTTGTTATTAACAATACCCAGTAACTGAGTATGAAAAATCACCTGTCACTTTCTACCAAAATTCCCACTAATATCATATATAGATTGAAGAATGTAGGATATTACAGATATTTTTATAACACATTTATAACATTAACAGAATTACAATACAAAACACCATTTCTAAGATAGAAGATTACAGTATCTCAAAGAAACATAGTAAAACACTGGGACTGATCCTATTACAATGTAAGATTCAAATACTCATGGGCCCTTCTGTCAGTCACCCCACGGAAGTGACACTAACAGGCTGTATCAGTTTTGTAATCACTGCAATTCCTCTCTGGATTTTCTGAAGAAGTCTTAAATCTTGTGTCATATGTGAACAGGGATCTGAAAGGCAAGTTCCTCTCTCTGCAGGGAGCCCAAAGCAGACACAATGGAAACATAAACATGCTTCCAAGGCCAGATTTAAGGAATTGAAAATTTACATGCCTACCACAAACTCTGACTCTTGCATGAGACAAGTGCAAAACAATACTGAGCAGGACAGTTCTACCTTCCTGTGGTATTCTCATTTCTAAACATTTTCGCTCATTTGAAAACCTTAATTACAGTAAGCGGGGTATCTTTCCTCTTCACTAACCTTTCCCTCTTTTACATAAATACCTCATAAGGAGTCCCTTGGAGGTGGTAAGATAGAAGGATTATTTCATGCCAAATATCACATGCAGTTTGTGTCATCACATTCTGGGGATGACAGACAAATTACAAAGTTTGAAGGGCTGCACCACAAATGATCAGAGGTTGAGACCGTCGGGGGGAAAATGCAACTTGGCCCTTTTACAGAATCCACGCTTTACGAGAATTCAAACGCAAAGCCCCTGGAACAAAAAAAGCATTTCACTCTGAAAGAACCGACAAGCAGGAGAGGGCAGCTTCAGACCGAAGGGTGCCCCTGTGGCTCTTCCTTTCCGCCCGCTGGCACGTTCCCTTCCAGCAGAGGAAGCTCCCCAGAAGGGACTCCCCGCCACCCCTTCCAAATGAAACCAGACCTCGGAGCAGCAAGTAGCACATCACTGCTGGGCTACACGTCACGCCAGCCCCACGCTCCCAGCTCTTCTTTCACCTGCGCAAACACCGCCGACGCAGTTCTACCTTTTCCGGCCCAAGCCCCGCAAGAAATCCCCATAAACAATGTTCTCCCACTTCCCCCGTGCACTCGGCTCCCGGCCCGCCGCCGGAGCAGCCCCACACCAGGTCCAGAGGCTGCCGCGGGCAGCCTTCCCGCCCTTCCAGGACGGATTCCATGGGGAGGGCGGAGCCTCGGGCACGGTAGGAATGGGCAGAGCCTCGTCCTTCCGCTTCCCGGCCGCCGCGGGACGGCCAAAGCCGCCCCTTCAGTCTGGGTGGCCCCGCACCCCCTCAATGTCTCGAGCATCTCGAGCCCCGCACCCCGGGCGCGGGCAGGGTCAAGCGCCCTTCCCGCCCTCCGGCAGCAGCGGCAACGCAGCCCTGGGGCCGCCCCCGCCCCACGGCCATACCTGCATAGGTCGTCCAGGACGCTGCTGGGGATCTCGGCCCGTTTGGTCTCCATAGGGAAGCGCGGCTCATCCCGACGCGGCGGAGGCCGGGGCGCAGAGAAACGGCGGGGGCGGGGCCGCGCTGCGGGGGGGCGGCGGAGCGGCGGCTCCCGAGGCCAATCGGCTCCCGCCGCTGGCGGAGCGGCGGCCAATGGGGCGGGGCACGGGGCGGGACCGGCAGGCTCAGGTGATCGTGGGCGGCCAATGGGCGGCGCGGGGTGGGGTCGTCGCGAGCGCGCTGATAACGCGCGGCGCCGGGACACGGAACGGGACAGTGGGACGGGGACGGGACAGCTGCGAGGGAGGGAGGGAGGGAGGGCCGGCCGGACCCCCGCCCGCCCGGAGCGTGGTGAGGCACAGCCGGGGTGCTGTGTCCAGCTCTGGGCTCCTCGGCACAGAGAGCCACGGGAGGGGTCCAGCAGAGGCCATGAAGACGAGGATGGTGTGGGGCATCTCTGCCTTGTGAGGAAAGGCAGCGGGAGCTGGGCCTGTTTAGTCTGGAGGAGACTGACAGAGGTTCTCATTAATGCCTGTAACTACCTCCGAGGCGGGTGCCAGGAGGGTGGTGCCCAGCGACAGGACGAGGAGCAATGGCCATAAACTAAAACACAGGAAGTTCCACCACAATATGAAGAACTTTGTCACGTTTGAGGGGTGGCAGAGCTCTGGAACCGCTGCCTGGAGAGGACATGGACTCTCCCCCTCTGGAGACGTTCAAACCCACCCGGACGCGTTCCTGTGTCACCTGCTCCAGGTGCTCCAGGTGACCGTGCCATGGTGGCGGGGGGGCTGGAGGGGACGATCTCCGAAAGGGAATAATTCTGTGATTCTGAGAAACAAAACCGGCTCCGGTGGCGTTCCCGGACGTGTCTCCCTGCCAGCAGAGGGTATCGCTGCTCTCTCCGCGGCAGCTGCTGCTGGCATTGCAGCCTCTGATTTTAGGTAGCAGCATTTAACGCATTTCTCCTCTTGTTCTTCCCCTTCCTTTACTCACCAAACTGCTTGAGCTCCGTCTGACTGCTCTTTCCCTCACCAGGACTGGGGAGAGAAACAGAGAAATGAGAAAACTCGTTGGCTGAGATAAAGACTAAATTGTCTAGTAAGTTATTAGTGTTGCCTATTAAGCTATAGGGAATGCAAAAGCTGCACACACAAGAAAGCAAAACCTTCGCTGCTTCCTGTGACCAGGCAGATGTTCAGCCATCTCCAGAATGGGGATCCATCATGTGTAATAGTGACTTGGGGAGACACATGCCATCACTCTGAATGTCCCCCCTTTTGTTCTCCCCACAGCTGATTATGATGCTATATGGTATAGAATATAATCAACACTGTGTTCAGCACAAATCCAAAACAAGGCTCCATACTAGCTAATTAGCTCTGCCCTAGTCAAAACCAGCACATAGAAACACCAGTCCAGCATTACCCTGAAGACACAAAAAGTATGTACATTCACAGTTCAGTTACTGACTGTTAGGCACAGAAAGTGAGAGATGTATCCTTTGCCTCCTTTCCAAAGATGTAACAAAGAACAGGAGGTTCCATGACAGCACCAAAAGTATCAGAAAAGGGCATTCAACCAGTTATAGAAAGAACAATACTGTACGAAGACAATCTTAGTAGGAGTTGGAGTCCAGTCTTAGTAGGAGCTGAAGCAGTATAATATTTACATATATTGGTGTCTCACTCATGAGCAAACTCCACTAAGTGTATTTGACAGTGACTTTGCTCCACTCCCTTTATTGCTGTGATGCTTGGAGGTGATGGGTGGATCACTTTAACTTACTTAAAGAAGTACTTTGTTAGCGAAAGTAAAGTCCACTAACAGTACTATTGATATGTCTAGACAGAGGAACACCTGTAAGGATCTGAGTTCAAACTGATCAATCCCATTGCTCAGGAATCCAAAAAGCTCCTTTTTTACCAGAAAGAGTAGATGTAAGAGGTTCTTTAAAAGTTATATGGTCTGGATTATTTCAGTTATCAGGTTACTCTTGCTGCTACTGTTTTTCCCTGCTTTGCTACATTCAAAAACTGCTCCCCATGTCCTGGTCCCCATCTCCCATGTGGATTTGGTACCAGGAGCTCCAACAATTGATAGAGGAAAAAAAAGTGGCTTAGAAAATGCACTTTGACATCTCATGCCATCTATGGTACTTTTAGCCGTGTCATGGTTTCTGAAAAATACCCAGCCTGATACAATGAATAAGCAAATGTGTCAAGTGTTACCTAAGTTACAAATCACTCTTCAATAATACAGATCCTTAGCATGTGAGGAAGGTACTACCTGAAGAACATAATGGAAGTTTGTAGACAGTGTTCCAAGACGGGAGAGAGGAGAGATGTTACATTTGACCATTTCTGCTTGCTCCATTTTGGAGACATTGCTGGAAGACTAGGTTAGCCAGAACATGAACAAAAGGAAAAATTATGTTCAGAAGTAGGATTTGGAGTTATGTATCATTGTAATTTCTTTTTCTTGCTGTGTGCTTTCTAATTTCTTTGATAAACTAACATGCACTCCTTTTACCCGTTAGCTCACATGATGCCAATTGAGTTAAAGCTGACATATTCAGGTTACATTTCCCCAAAGATAAATCCTCCAGGGAACTTGCATGCTTTGCTGGCAAAGTAGCTCTTGTCAAGCTTCAAGGGCAATTAAGAGAGTAGGAAGGCCAGGCATATCACAGAGAAGCTCACACAGTACCCACACCACCTCAGAGCTCCAAGCAATGTGCAGAATCACCCAGTGATGTACTCAAACTCGTTTTTAATCACTGCTTATCAGTCAGCCTTGGCAGTCTGAAAGGCAACAATAAGATATTTGGAAAATAATGTTGTTGTCTGTTTGCACTGAGCAGGGAGAGAAGGTGGCAGAAAATAAAACAGGAGCCAGCCATTTGTGCATTCAGAAAGGGATCTCAGAAAAAGAGTTGGATTGCACAGGACAAGCAAGAGATGAAAGTGGATAACATCTTGCTTGGAGAATTTCACCAAAGTGAGAATTGCATTGGATAGGAAGACACTCTCAGATACCAAGCACCAGCCAAATCTAGAACCCAATAAACATTTATTTGCAATTTATGTGAATTAGAATAAAGACTGAGGCAGAACCTTGATAGTCTGCAATCGAGATTGCAGACTTCAGCTTGCCTAAGTAATCAGAAAAAGGCATTAATTCCACTCAGCCCTTCGATAAACAGATTCTATACTAAAATCTCCAACAAAGGATGGAGGTGAGAGGTAAGTGGACTGAAAAGAAATACCTTCTGTAAGCAGTATGAGCTCAGCACCCTCAGTTGCTACAAGCTGGTATTTTGGGTCAAATCTGTATGCAAGGAGACAATGCAAGCACTACTCCCCTGCTTTGCTTCATGTGTTACATGGCAAAAGGTGAGTGAAGAGCTGGCACAGACCATCAGGAGGACAGTAATGTACTATAGAACCAGTCCCATATAACCCATGTGGAGAAACAGAAACACTTAAAATATGTTGAAGCAAGTTTTAGGTAAACCAAATCGCCCACACAAAAGTTAATGAAAATCTAGGCTTAAATCTGTGTTCATCTTGGTTTCCTGATTGTAAAGGAAAATAATCTGGAAGGGATTTTATTAAGTGAGAAGCACCATAGAAAGTACCACACTTGTGGTGATGCACAAGACGTTGTAATAAACTAATAAGATGCACTCATTAGCAGACTTGGATCAATAATGGTACCTAAACTTTGGAGAGGTTCTCTGAACCTTGCAGAAGAGATAGGAAACACACAGAAAAAGGTAAGCTAGCAATCATTTGGTTACTTTATATATAGAGAGCTGTGGTGAGCCTCTTAAGAAAACTCTGTACTGGGCTTTTCCTAACATTACCCTGCTTTCATAATCAGATCAAAGGATTTATGATCTAAGGCTTCGCAGGTAATCATTCATTTAATGGCAATAATGTGTGCATTGCTTTACATACATGACATGCTACACGTCAAGACAGCAGGGTTTGTTTAGGCAACACTGATCTCAAACAGGCTTAACCAGATGGCTCAGGTAACACACACACCCCTTGGGATGTGATCATCCATTCAAACTCCAAGTCAAGCAGACTGTTGGAGGAAGTCCAGCTCTGGGGCCCTCAATATCAGCAGGACATGGGCCTGCTGGAGTGAGTCCAGAGGACCACAGGGGGATGATCAGGGGACTGGAGCACCTCTCCTAAGAAGACAGGCTGAGAGAGATGAGGTTGTTCTGCCTTGAGAAGAGAAGGTTCCAGGGAGAGCTTATAGCACCTTATTGTACCTAAAGGGAGCCTACAAGAAAGATGGGGAAAGACTTTTTGCAAAGGCATATAATGACAGGACAAGGAGGAATGGTTTTAAACAAAGATAGTACATATAGATTAGCTGTTGTGCAAAAACTCTTAACTGTTAGAGTGATGGGGCCTGGCAGAGGTTGCCCAGAGAAGTTGTCGATGCCCCCTCCCTGGAAGTGTTCAAGGCCAGGTTGGGCAGGGCTCTGAACAACCTGGTCTAGTGGGAGGTGACCCTGCCCATGGCAGGTGGGTCAGAATGAGATAAGCTTGAGGGTCCCTTCCAACCCAAACCATTCTGGGAGTCCATGAAGTACACACCTGTGCTAAAGCCACGAGCTGACCTTTAACTCAGGGTTGATTATAACAGTGGTCCACACTTCAGCTCAGAGTGAAAAGACACTTGAAGTATGTTGAAGACAGTTAAAGAACAGAGCTTATCTAGTGACTAGGCCAGTCTGAACCTAAAATCAGACTAAATAGCTTAAAACATCAAAGAGGAAAAGTAAAGATATGGATTTGTATTAACTAGAAAAATAGAGAAAAAATTAGGACACCAAAAGGGAAAATGAAGAATGGAGTATCATTGAAAGGACACAGCCCTGCAATACACTGTTTTCTATTAGTTTATTTCATAGCACAGCCCTCAGCAGGCAGGACAGGCAGCCTGCCATTCTAAGGGTACAATTACTCTCCCAGCTCAGGTGTGTCCTGCAGCCTGTGACTTTGGATGTCAGCTCTGGTACTTCATGGTAACCTACAGAGAGTGGATGGGTAGCCTGGACAAATGGGCTACTGCTGCCTGTGCTTTGGTTCTGGTGTATAGGACACCACTACTTTCAAATCTTTATAGGCGGAAAGGCACTTATCCTCTTGGTCCTCCATGGGGTAGTTTTGCTGCATTTTTCTAGTTTTCCTCCTCTCCTGCAGAAGCTCCTTGAGCAGGTCATGCAATATGCCTTTAACCTTCCTCTCTAGATCTTTCAAGCCACAATATTCCTTCCCCATTCATATTTTCAGGTTTTTGTGAGAACATGAAAGACCACTGCCCAATACAGCATGTTCTCCATATTGAGCTGGAAGACTCTTTATATTTTTTAGTATAGTACCCTATCTTTATTTCTCTTCAACTTTATAATTTCTTTCTTCTAAAAACTAATTTTTCTCTTGCTCTGTAGCATAGGTATCTTAAACCAAACTGTTATGCACCTTATTGCTACATAGAGTTTACACAGCACACTGCAGTGCACTGAAAACATTTGTCTAGCACAGGTCAGCTGGGGAAGCTATTAATGCCATGTTTCATAGTTTAGTTTTAAATAAAAGAACACAAAAGTAGACAGCGAGTTATTATGAAAACTCAGCAGGAATTTAGTTGGTTTTAACATTTTTATTAAATTCTCTTTTTTATAATACTTTTGTGTCTTACCTCCTACCTGCTCTCCTCCTCAGTTCTTCAGTTTTCAGTTAGATGAAAAAATCCCAAATTTTTGGAGGCACCTTATTAAGTGCAAAGAGAGTGAGCTTGGGAGAGAAACAAACCCCAAAAGACCAAAATAAATTTCCATAAGGCTTTTGCACTCCTGCAAACTATGATCCAAGTCTGCAAATCTTCAGTTTGAGAATTGCTTATTTAGAATTTAGTAGGTCCTGTACTTTCTCCACATTCCAGCATAACCATAAGTAAAATGAGAGTGACACTGCTTTCTGCAACCTTTGGTGATGCTTACCTTGTTTCACTTTTAACCCTTAGGCATATAAGAACGTTACAGTGTCCTTATAAGGCAGGGGGTTTCTACATGACAGTGTCTATATACTGGACAAAAAGGCAATCTCAGCTGAGTTGCTTAAAATTTTAATATTGCTGTATTTTAAATTAAGGTGTAGAATTTTGCTTTGCTTGAAGCTAAGAATTAAATTTCTCACAGATCTTGTAAAGGACAATTTCTTAAGGCTACCTCGCACTGTTACTAATCTTTATTAATTTGAAAGCATCAGTATATCCCTTAATACTACCTAATTCCAGTCCCAACAGTCTCCCACATTCTTTGTAAAACCCAAGGCATATCCGATGGATCCAGCAGACAAAAAAGGGAAAAGGAGGGGGCTGGAACACACGGCATAGGAGGAGGATCAAGGATCTGGGACTGCTGTGCTTCTTCTCAGAAGTGAAGGCTAAGTGGGGACATCAATTGCTACCTTCAGCTCTCTGTTTGGAGGTTAAAGTGAACTGGATCCTCCTCAGAAGTGTAAAAAATCAGGGCAAACGACAAGATGAAACAGTCACATATGACACCAAAGGAGATCTCAATTTGAAATGTGAGGGAAAATATCTCTTTGGTTGCAGTTAAGCACAGTGAAGGGCTGCCCAAGGAGGCTGCAGAATCTCCATCCATGAACATTTTCAGATCCTAGGGATCCAGATCCTGAGCATCAGGATCTATCTTTAGCATTAGCCATACTTTGAGCAGAAAACTGCACTACATAACCTCCAAAGATCACTTTTAACTCTATCTTTTTATTCTGTTAAAAAAAAAAAAAAGGCAAAAATCTTTCCCCCCCAAAAAAAAAAAAAAAAACAAAAACCAAAAAAAAACCCAACAAACAACCAAACCAAAAAACAACCAAACACCACCAACAAAAAAAACCCCTGCAATTACAGGACAAACCTTTTGACCACAGATATGGACTAAATATTATTCTCCCTCGTCTCCTCACCTCTGCTTTAATAAAACAGTTACTGGAAAGAAGAAAATGTATTTCAGCAATTAAATTTAAATTATTTCCAAAATGCCTTCCCCCAGCTGACAGCTCCAAAGCACAATGTGATGTTTATATTTTAAAAAAATTTACATGAAGATAAGACATACGCAAAAGAAGACTGATTAGTATTTTCTGGCACACTCAGAAGCAACACAGATTTGAGGAGGGCATAAAGAGTCCCAGTACTGGTTGTAATGCTGAGTCAGATGCAGAGGAGCTGCTCAGAAGGGTCAGCCCAGCCAAGGAAGTTTCCAGGACTACATCACAGCCAACAAATTATATTTAGTTGGCAAAAACATTGCGCACACCATAAGTTCCAGGATACAGTTACAGCAAGGCGCTGCTGCCCTCGGCGTGGTCACATGCGCCATTTGGGTATCTGTAAATTGTCATAACCTCTCTTCTACATCACATCAGTGCCTACCATCTGTTTCTGACTTTTGCTCACCGTGTATGGTATCACGCGCTGATTTTGGGGGCGGGGGGACATTCTAGCACTTGTAGGCAATTGGAGCCGGCTACCTGCGTGGCCTCCTCCTCCTTGCCATCTCTGACACAGGGGTCTTGTCTGTTTGATTCCTTGAACAGGGCGCACCATCCTTGCAGGGATCTATGTCCTTGGCCCCGCTCCAGGATTAGAAACCTACCCCTGCCTGCGGGGCAAGAAGGGCGGGAGGCCGCGAGGGGACATCGGCTGCGCGCACCGCGGCCGGTGCCGCATCCCGGCCTTTGCCTGGAGTCCCCCAAACCCGCCGAGGACAGGGTCTGTCCCGGCGGGGCGCGCCCCCAGACCTCCATTTCGCGCAGGGGCGGGCTCGGAACGGGCCCGCTGCCGGCGGAAGATGGTTCCCGGTCGCTCGCCACCGCCCCCGGGCGCGGCGCCACGGGGATGGGCGCTGGGTGCCGGGGCGGCGCCTGCGCTCGGCCGCGGGGAGCGCGGGGCTGCGGCGCGGAGCGGGCGGCAGCAGCGCCATGACCGCGGCGATGCGGCAGCGGTTCGACCGCTTCCTACACGAGAAGAACTGCATGACCGCCGTACTCGAGCGGATCGAGAGCAAGACCGGCGTCAGCCGCACCTACATCGCCACCGGTGAGCCCCGGCCGTCGCCCTCCGGCTCACCGCGGGCGGCCGCGCCCTGCCCGCGCCTCCTCGCCCCGGTCCCTCGGGCGCTGACGGCTTTCTGCTCTCTCCTCAGGCATCCTCGGGGTCGTGGCCGTGTACCTGGTGGTGGGATACGGCGCGTCTCTGCTCTGCAACCTCATCGGCTTCGCCTACCCCGCCTACGTCTCGTGAGTGTCGCGACTCCTGCCCCCTGCGCCACGCGGTGGTTCCGGGTGCCACCCGCCGATGTGGCTGCAAAATCGCATCACTTGCGGCGGTGCCGAGCCTGTCTGGGGTGGCATTCCGGGACCGTGCTCCAAAGTGTTGGTTGCCGGCCACCCCTTTCCTTGAGCGGGTTCAGGTGCCAGGTGAAGAACGAGGCTTCTCCCGTCTGGCGAGTGTTACAGGAGCTACAAATGGGAGGCGCTGGGTGGTTTCCGCACTTAATAACCAGTTCCTGTAGCGGGATATGCTTTGGGGTTGGGCTCCCAGCTTTGTCATCTCCCACGGGAAGCTGGATCGTACGGGAGGGAGGGTCGCCGCTTGGAGGGTGTTTGTTAAAACTCGCACTGATGGTTTGAGCGGGGCGCAGGGAGGCACTGGCGCATCGTCGGCGTGTGCCTGGTACCGAGCACTGGGTGATGGCCTGGAGACAGAGGTGCATTAAGGAGTGCTGCTTACACCAAACCTGCCTCGCTGATGGGGGGGAGCGGGGAAGGAAAACGCTGTAACCTCTTAAGCGTGAAAGACTTTTAAATACTTCCTTTTTCAGAGGAAGGGCTCCTTAGATATTCTTAAAAACAAAGTAACTGTTATCATTCACATGTGTTATGTAGTCCTTTAGACCAAAATGCATTAACTGTTAGGCAAGACCACAGTCAAGTATGATCCAAAAGACTGCAGAAACGTACTAAATAAAACCTGTTTAACCTCATACATTAATCAAATGGAAGTCCTTCCCAGCAGGACTGCGATATTGTTGAAACACAGTGCTTGCCTTTTATCTAACTCTTCAAATACAGTCAGCAGCTTTTAAAAATATCTTCTCTGTAATTGGATCCTGGACAATACAAAGTCGGTTCTTTTATTTTTTTTCAGAGATATGAGAGGGTCACTTCGTTTTATACTATTGAAACATCTTGTGGTTGTGATGCTTAAGGCCAAACAACATTTTCTTAAATGCTGTTCCTGGTATTCGCTTATTTTGGAGATTATAGGCCAAGAACTCTGGAGAAACTTAGGTTTCCTAGATCATAAGTTTTAGTGAAAAGATTAGTTTAACAGTGTTCTCTCATTAAAATATGAAAGGGGAAATAGCAGCCAACAAACCTTCAAAACATTGAAATGGTTGTGTAGGAATTACGTTTATGTAATATTTTGTGTCTTAGGTCACTTTTAAAATTATGTAGTTACTTTATAAAATCCTATTTGAATTTTAAAATTCATTTTAGAACTGGTTTTAGAATTTTAAACCTTCCATTATGCAGTGATGCTGAATAAATTGATAATACAAACTCTTGGAACTGCAAAGCAAGGCAGTAGCAAATCAAATATGAATAATAAGATTTCATTACTAATTTTTTCTTTCAAATCTGAGGGTTTTTTAAAATGTTTTTGTGGAGTATCTCCCTTTTTCATGTTGAAATGTGGTTTTAAATGTGAAATGTGGTTTTTTAATGTGAAAAGTTACCTCCCAGATCTTAGTACTGTGGTATGTTTCAGTTTTTGTAGCTTTTTTAATAATGGGAGCAATGTCCTTGGCTACAAGTTTTAGTTAAACAAAAAGCATGTAAATACAATGCCAGTTCTGGGGGATTTTTCCCAGTTCATGCTCAGGTAATGCTTGTCCTTTAGCTGCCTTTTTAATTCTGAAAAACATTTGTAGTAGGAAACTATAATCCTGGTGAAAATCTAATTTAAAATGTGTGTGGTGTGCTGCTTGCCAGTGTCTTTCAGTAGCAGCCTGCTGACAGCACAGGCAGGCTCAATCCCCTCCCCAGCCCTTCCCTCTCAAGTCCATAGCTGGTATGTAGAGTTTATCCACATTTCACTCTGTTTTTGTTCTGGCTGCTCTGGGTCATGTACTGTTGTCAGGATGCTGCTGAGTGCCATGCCCCGTGCTTTTAGAGACCCAAAGCATAAAGAACACTACCCAGAGTGGTTTATTTATTCCTCTTTGCTATGCTGTCTGTCCCCCTTGGAAAGGCAGATGAAGAGCCTGCTGTATGAACTGACAGCAGTGGAGAGCACTGAAGAGAAAACAGTTCTCATCAGCTGCACACGCCCTCAAATGTCTTTTGCTCTAAAAGCTATGGCTTCTGGAAGAGGTCAGGAGCTGTAAATGGAATGTACTGTGCAGGGTGTTAGTTTGATGTTTACACAGGTGGTTCAACAATGAAACCAAACCTGAAATGTCTCAGAAAGGCACTGAAAGAGAAAAAGCAGATTACTTTTCCTTGATTAATTTACTTTCTTATTTTGTGAAGTAGTTCAATGTATCATTTCTCCATTGTCAGTTACTGGAATGGTTTGGGTTGAAAGGAACCCTGAAGGTCTTGTAGTTCCAGCCACCCTGCCATGGCCAGGGACAAAGTAGTGGGTCAAGCTCTTTGTCAGCAGAAAAGGCACTCATGAAGGAGTGGGGACAGATGTCTGCACTCTGCAAGGGGCATCAACAGTCTTTACAGTAGTTTAAAATGGCAAACAGGATGCCTGATGGTTGACCCACGGGCATGTTCCAAATCTGTTTTACTAGGATTTCAGTTCTGGTTTACTTTAGTCATGTCAATTACTGTCCATCTCTAAGCTTTCCTGAAATAAAATATCTTGGAGTCACAGCAAACCCGTAAACCCTCAGCTCAGAGTTCATTCTGTTCATGCATGAAACCAGGACAGTTTTGTGCAGGTATCTGCCTGTCAGGCTTTGTATAAACCTGCAGTTTATTTTCATTGGTCTCTGCCATTCTCTGTATTCGCTGTGGTGTGTGCAGTGCAGCAGGTGTGAATTTCAGTGGAGAAATGCTGGAGGCTGTAACTGCTAGACCCAGCAGATGATGTGAAGTGGTGCAGCTGCAGCTGCACTGCTGCCCACATTCTCATCACTGTGGTGCAAACCAGTGCCAGGGGAGGGGGCATTAAGCTCCCTGCTTAATGCCTGATACAGCTTCAAGGAGGCACAGCTCTTTACCTCTTTACTCCTCCTTTTTTACCTTCAGCTCTGCCTTGGGTAAACTTTTAGTGGTTTCATACATGGAAGAATTTCTTCATCAGCAATACAGAAATCTCCCTGTACATCCACATGACATCTCATAGCAAGGGCCCACCTCAGTCTCTTAACATAGCCAAAATAAAGCAGTAGTGCCCTGGCTGTTTCCTGATAGGTCAGGCAATGTCTACCTACTATCATTCCTTAAAAGTCTGTAAGTGCTATATAATGAAAGAGAAAAAAAACATTTAAGTTGAAATCTAATACTTAATTTATAGGCTTTTGTGGTTGTAGTGGACCAGCACTGAAAAGTTTGCCGCAGATGATAGACACAACTTTTCTTAACTTCTAGCAAGCTTTAACTGCACAAGGCAGTAATCAGGATAGAGATGGAAAAAGTGAGTGTTGGCAAGTGCGTAAATACCATTGCCAGCATTTTCACTGCTTCTCTAAACTTTCCAGAGCTAGCGTGTTCAAA